AACCCTGTCAAATAGCATTGTTCTGCTCTACTAACTAGAGTTAACCAGAAGTGGGCGATACGACTTCTATGTTCAGTCGACAAAGTGATTTTTGCAGCATTTTGGGTAAAAAGTCATCTACAAACACATAACCCTCCCAAGAAAGAAGCTCAGCCCAACGTATCAATAAACACACCCTACATATCCCTGTGACTCAGATCTTTTTCATATCAATGCTAAAACTTCCATATTTTCAATTTTCCTCTGCCAATCACCAAAGTCCCTACTAATAGTGAAAACTTTCATAGAGAGATTCCTGAATTCCACGTATGCAGAAGATCTCAATTTTTGCATCTGAACCATTTTTTTCTAAAATTTCTGGTACATTTATCTCATTCCTGACATAACTTCACTGAACATAGTATTGGAGAAATCTTCCATCAAGTGGCAAGATCAGCATTAATCTGCCTTGTGCTACCAAAGAAATGCAACACAGTAGGAGTCAGGAACTGCTCCACAAACTACAAAATCCAGTGTGAATCTTACTGTTCAGTGCAAGTTCTAAACAGAACAAATTACACTCTTAGGCAGTTAACTGTTTCTCCTGTAGCACTTTCGTAATATCTAAAAATGTTTTCAGCAGAGTCTTTCTCCCATCTTTTCCCAAAAGGTAGCCATTTGAGAAAACATTTAGGAAAAGTCATTTTAAATGCCACACGCCAGCCAGGGCAGTCATGCAAATACATGGGACCAAGTCCTGCAAATACATGGAACAGTTTATTCCTTTCATTGTGTAACCTTAACAGTATTTTTATGCCCTATTTAGAAGAAGCAGCCATTAAACCTGATAAAAATCTCATGTTTTGAATATTAACCAGAAAACATCACCTTTGCAGCACACATTCCTGTCCCAGGTCTGATCCTGCAGATCATTTCCCAAAGCAAGGTAAAGGAAAGCAATCCCCTGGAATGACAACCCAAGCTGTAATTGCAGAAGTGTAACACACCGTGACTGTCCCTGCAGCCTGACATTTGGTGAGTTTACTAAAACCTTAATAATAACACATTATTACATTTGATATGCTTCCCTTGATTCATTATGGAAGCAGCCATTCAGAATAGATATTGAACTTTCCAAATCGATTAGACTGTTTTGAATTTAATAGCATGGAGATCGTGTGGACATTACGGGTTAGCTGCTGGTTCAGAGATGTGTCAGACTAATTTAGTGATCATTAAACTGCTATTTCTACATAATAATATAACATCGTGGGCAGTTAGGTCCGGGTCAGGACTTCCACCTCGCATCTAATACTTACTTTAGGAACTATATACGCTTATATAGGAACTTTATATACTCTTAACTGAATACATAAAAAAAAAAAAAACCAAAGAATATAATTTTACAACACACAAGAGTTCTCATTTTTCTGTTCCCGTTAAGCTGCCATTTCTGTGTTTCACTTTCTGTAAGATAAATCAGGAACACCCACAGGAGTAACCAAAAGTTCAAGGAGAGAAAACCCTTAATTATGATACCAAATTTGCTATTTTCTGTATCTGTTTAGCTAAGACAATTTGTTTCTCCAAGTTCCTTTCTCCAAAGGTAGAAGAGAGGTTAAGTTTCACAGGGCGTATTGCGATTGCCAGCTTCACAAGGCTGTGAGGAATAACATTTTAACAAAGCTCTGAATACAGAAAGTGCTTAAATGTTAGGATTCCTAGTAATAAAGTCAACTATTACAGCACATAAAGTCTGATGGTCTTCTAATAAGGCTACAAATAGCCAAAAACTTCTCACATAGGCATGAGTAGAGAGCCAGAGGAAATCACATACAAGAATAAAATGTAAAACTGAGAAGTTCCAACAACTCTACTAAAAGAAGCAAATTAAGTATTTGGTTGCCAGTATTGGTTTCCTTTTCTTAGAGGATCCTTTTCTTTCCTGCAATAGGATGCGATAGATATTTTTACTTCTGCTTTATTCAGGGACATGTACAAATTAAAGTAAGTTCCTCAAGAAGGGCAAATCTGACATTTTTAGGTTTCTTAGTGAGGGTTCTTAAAAATAAAACTCAGTTTAAAAGAAACATATTTATGTTTTAGTCTAACACAGGGCAATAAGCCTAATTAGCAAATCCAATAGCAGTCAGTGTATCATGCAAGAATCTAACCTCACCTAACACCCTTCTGAAGAAGCTGAAGAGACCTGCTATTCCAAGTTAGGCTTATATCCGGATTCGACAAAACACGTAAAAAGGCTTTGCTTTCTTCACACACGATCTGCTCTATTCCAACCCCGTTCATGATGGCATCATTACCTGTCACTTCGCAGCCTTCATTTATCTTTCATTTCATTTCTACTTTACTGCCAATCTCACGTAACTGCTTGAGACTGGTATTTCTGATACAAAAAGCTCTACCATTTTCTCTTGCTCCACAGCCAGATTATCCATAGTCCACTTATTCACCACTTTCTCATATACCTTCAAACATCATGTGCTCAAACTTACTACTATTTATTAGCTCAGGTGCTAAGGTGCTAACGGGGACAAAAGTGAAGATAAGCAGACAACCAGATCATGGGGGCCACAACATCCACCCCACTGTGGGCAGGGCCACCTAATTATGCTTGGATAACAGTTTATAGGATGGGAAAAAAGAAATCTCATTTGATCTTTTAAACCCAAATATTATACTTGCTCAGTTCCATTCCTCACTATCAGGGAGGGTTTACAGTTTTCAAGGGGTTTATTTTGTTCCAGCTGGTTGCAGCAGAATAGGATTCTTTCCCTGGATCAGCCCTGGCTTTACTTAATGTTTTTATTATAAGATAGTTACCACATTCACTGTATAACCATAAAAAAGCATTTTTTTCCTTTGCAACAATTAGAATATTTGAATACAAATTGCAAGCTTCCAGCATTAACCAATTTACTTAGTAAAGTCACATAATGCATGAATGGACGCAAAGCATTTCTGACCATACTTGTCATGAAGCATTTAAACAGTTACTACATACAATATCCTGTGCCCATATCATTGCATAATCCTCCCAGCATATTCAGTTAAATAATTTTAACATCTTTAAGTCCCTATTTTTTGATAATATTAATTTAGAAAGTAGCATTTCCCAGCAGATTTTAGGATGCAGGAGAACATCTGCTCAGGTCCTATTGAATTCACGGTGTTTCATCATCTTCTTGCTGTTTGGTAGTGAACACCTACATTAGAATCTCTAATTATAGCATTTTCTTCAGCCATGAGTGTGGCTAACTTAGAAGGCAGAGATGACATATCTGCAGTAATCAGAGAACCCACTTTTGACTACCCAGAAGGTAATGCCCTTAAACATCCCTAGTAGATGGATCCATATATCTTACAATAGTTAGTCTCGGATTGTCAAGGTGATCTAGTGTTTTTAGCTATGCTCTCCAGAAGAAGGAAGGACACGTGTGACTACATCCCCTCTGATCGTTCCAGACATCTAAAGCATAAGTCACAATCTCTTTTTTAATGACCTACCTCCAGTTTATATTCTTTAGCAAGTATATACTTTTAACTTGGTATTTGTTTGAGATCTCAAGTACTAGAGTTCAAGCTTGGGCAGAGCATCCTTAAGGACAGAATCCTGACACCATTTTTAAATGAAAAAGAAGAGAAGAGCTCAGCATTTGGGGGATTATCAGAACGTCAGAGAGTCAGTCTGTAGTTGAAAGACTTGAAAGTCACTTAGAAGATAAGCTACGTTGGAAGTTAACAGTTAAGGCAAAACCACTGGCAACACTTGCTGGGTATCGACAAATTCACAGAAACAAACATCAGAGTGAAGACAGAAAAATGATACTTGAAGTATTCTGAGAAATCAAATTAATGTAAATCATTATGTACTTGGAATTTTAAATACTTAAACCCCAAACTTTAAATTCAGAATGCAACACACACAATCAGAGCAGAAAAATTAAGTAGAGGGTGGACAGAATCTTATCTGTCTAGCCTGAATAATAACTTCGCTGCTTCTACTTCTGTGGCAGCTGTCCAACACTATCCCTTGGGCACCCCACTAGAAAGCACATAGCAAACCATGGGCTCAAAATCACAAACATTTATGTTACAGCTTGCACGCTGGATAGTCTGAGAGGACTTCATTCTGTGTGAATTAAGATCACAAGGAAAATCGCGTTTTACACAGAGCAGCACCCAGGATTCAGGGAGCTTCGCAGCCAACAGGAAAACAAGACAAATGGCAGCACTCTCATCTCAACCACCAGCAACCAGGTTTTGGTCCTCGTGGTTTAAGGAATCCAGTCTGACGTAAAAGCAACTTGAGATGGAGCAGGACACGCCAAGCCAGGGGCTTTGCAGCACCAGGGATGCAGGAGGCAGTATTACCAAGAGCCAAACTAGCACAAACACAGCAAAGCTCCTCAGAGATTGCCACAACTCAAACACAGCTGCCAAGTGAAGCACGGAACATTTAATCTGCTACCTCCAAGGCTGCCCCACCTATATTGTTCTTTCTTCTTACTTCATTTTTGTAGCATTCTTACGTTCAATTGTGAGCTTTTCACGACCTCTCAAATCTGACCATTTCCTCATTCCTCTTATTTAATCCTTCCTTCACGGCCTCACTATGACTCCTTTCATTGAGTTTTCAAGACCTACCTTGTTGCCTTCCCCCAGTTATTCTATTAAATGCATTCCCATTACTCCATGTTTTCCCTCTTCATTCATCAGTCTTCTCACGTCTCCGCTCCATTCCAGCCACTCTCCTTAAAAACTTTAAAGCCCAGTTATAAAACCCGGTTCTCACACACTAAAATAAAAATGCCACAGCAGTCACATTTATCACAGCCTTATTAACACCCATTTTGCACCATGTTGTAATGGATATCTGCAGGACAGCCCAGCATATCACTCCAAACCTTTTTGCACTTTAAGCAGGGAGGTATCACCCTTCTCATTGGAAATACGCGCTTCCCGTTGGAATTTTCTATTTAAAACAGATGCATTGCTCCTACCGGCATGAGCTGCCCCAGAGCGTGGAGGGTGAGTTTCTTTGGGTCGGTGTAGAGGATCTCGCCGAGCTCCTGGTAGGGTTTCCCGCTGCTGGTGAAGTGTCCCTGGGCGAGCTGCTGCTGCCGGCGGCGGTAGTTGGCCCAGAAAGCCTCTTCTCGTGAGGGTTCGCTGCTCTTATAAACCGTCTGGCTCCGGGCTAAGATCTTCCCTGCTCTCTGCTCGAGGGCGGGCAAAGCCTGGATTCGCACAAAGTCCCGGGGGTTCAGCGCTCTGGTGGCCGTCGACACCTTGACTCTGCCGCTCTTGGAGGCATCCGGCACCGGCATAGCTCCCGCTGGGAGCCGCTGGGGATTTGCCGCTTGTGTTATTAAGAATGGTCTCCCAAGGCTCAGTTCAGGTGGCTGCTGCCCAAACCCTGGAGCCGGCCTCCCTTGTCACATCCCACAGGGGCTGTGACAGAGGTCGCGTTTAGTCTCATCCCCCAGAGTGCCTCAAAAAGCAAGAAGGCACCTGAGGGGAACAGAAGCTTCCAGAACTCCGGGGCACACTGAGCACCTCCCTCTGAAGCATTTCACTTAAAACCCACTTTCCTCATACTCGTGCCTAGCTCCAGCACCCCCTGCCCGGGCCCAGAGGGCTCCGGCCGCCGCCCGGCCGGGCCCGCGGGACGGGACGGGCTCCCTTCCCCCGCCGCGGCCTTTGGCGCCCAACGGTCGCGTCGCGCCGTTGCCGCGGCAACCCCGCGCATGCGCACAGCGCCCACGCGCGGCGCTCGAGGGGCGGGGTGGCGGGTAGAGCTGAGGGGAACGTGGGGAAACGGGGAGCTGAGCGGGGCGACACGCCGCAGTGCCGCCACGGACCGGGGTTTCTGCGAACACCTAAATGTCTCGGTCCCTGTCGCTGTTTCACTCGCTGGAGGAGGCGCCTCAGGTTGCCCTGCAGACCCCGCCGGCAGGAAATTGCCACTGCAGAAATCCCCACTGCTGCCCTTCTGTCCCTGCAAAAACAGCCCCCAAAAGGCACAATATCCATCTGTCATCGGCAGGCGGACAGTTTATTTACATGACACATTCAAGGCGGTTTGCAGGCAACTTTGCTACCTCCCTTCCAGCCCCTTGTCTGCCCCACATGCCAAATGTCCCCTTGGAATTCAGCCTTCCCGTGGAAGGAAGCATTCCCACAGCCAGCATTAAGAGACCATGAAGAACACCACCCTCCATCCTCCAGGGTGGCTGTCCCTGGAGGACATCACTCCAATTACTTGCTTTTGCCATACCTGGGAACACAAGTGTGTTTTCTGCTAGAACACTCAAGAGGCTGGAATTTTTATTCCGAGGGTTGAACAGAAACATCTGTGTGACAATCACCAAGTGAAAGCCTGAAGTGGATTTCTAAAGCTGCCCTGATGCCTAAAACGCGGTTCCGCATCCACACTGAGGGCTTTTTGCGTCAGGAATGGAGCTTGATTAGCCTTAGTGATTTGTTTGCACTTGAGCAAACCTGCTCGCAAACCCTCAGGTGCTCCAGAGCTGCTCTTCTCTCCAACACACGTTCCACTTATTTTTCCCACGCGTTCAAGGACCAGATCGTATGCAACTGCATGTGCTTTGAATTGGTGGTGAATTTTACAAGTCTGTGTTTTCTTGTTATTTTAATAACCTTGGTATTAAACTCTTTTTGCATTCGTGACCATCAGAGTATTCGTTTCGCTGCAACGGCAATGCTCTGAAGTAGGCTGACATATAAGCTATATTATCAAAATTGTGAATTCCTCCTTTCCCTTGACTACCTGCCAAGATGATGCCCAAATACTTTATTCTGGTCACTCCTTCCAGGAGGTCAAATGTCCACATGGCTTTCAAGGCCCATTGCAAGAGCTGACAGGGTTGTGACCTGCTGAGAAGAGAGGCCTCCAAAGTTCAAGAGCTGGAAGCCCCACCTGGGACACTGCACCACCAGTGCCCTTTACTTATTTTATTTCACTTGAGTCAATCTAGATGCTTCAGCTGATTTTCACTGCTGAGGGTCAGAGCAGGCAAGCAACACCCTTACAGGCACCCACGTGTTGTAAAACTTCTATACTATAAATGCTTTTGAGTTGTGCCTCAAACATACCCCACTCTCAGGTGCTTCCAGTGAGTCACTGATCCAGGGAGGAAAAAGGAGACCATCTCCAGGGAAAAGGCTGTTTCAAGAGGAACAACCCCAACATTCAGAGGGGTGGCAGCAGCAGGTCTCTGGTTCCAGTCAGCTCCTCTTTCCCTCGACTGTTTGCCATTTGTTTCCTGAAAAAGTTGGTCACCCAGCAGCCCATCCAGTTAACCTTTTTAGTGTCGAGAAGTTCTCTTTGGAGCTGGCAGTAATAAGCCAACCGACTCGACGATGTGCAAGCCACTGGCCCAGCACTCTTCCTGGCTCAGGTTGTAGCATTTCCATATAAATAGGCTCCCTCAGAGACAAGGGAGAATATATTATTCCGAAACAAACAAACAAACAAAAAAAGATGGATATGCGGTTTTACATTTTTGGAGACAGCACACAAAAACATTTTCATTTTGCAGCCCACGAAGGATCCTGGGTAAAACGTTCTGACTTGATCAGCTCGAGTTATCCAAACGTCAGGTTTTTTCACTGCTTTTGTTTTGACTCTCACAGATACATTTCTCTTCCACTCTGTTCATTGTCTGGTCACATTTTCAAGAAATATTCCAAGAAAGACAGGTATGAATTTATTTCTTTTCTCCTTCCATGTAATTTCTGCATCCAGCTTACAATTTTTGGTGGCAATTTAACAGCTTTTACAAATTACATTCTTATCTTTTTCTCGGTTATTGTTGCAGAGGAGAAAATCACATTTTTTTACTGCAATTTTCAGAATTCTGCTGTCGCTGTGGTTAAGTTTTTTGGGTTTTCTTTTTTTTGTCCTTAGCTTTTATTTTCTTATCCCTCAAGGGCAGCCTAGGAAATTCAAAGCTGTTTTCTGACTATCAGATGATCTGGTATTCTCTTTTGGCAGTTATGCAGAAACTGTCTCTCTCTGCCTTCAATCCTTCCACCTAAATGACACCCTTTTCTCAATAAATTACCCTTTGTCTTTCAAAGCAGTATCCCCACCGGTGACATTTTGAACGAGTAATAGTTGCATCCCAACGTATACCTTCAGGAACATCAGCCAGCAGCCCAATACAAACTAACTGGTGCAGAAAATCACAGATTTGCATATTTGGGCTTTACTTCCCCCCAAAGAACCGGGCTGCACACTGAGTTTCTGAAGTTGGAGTTGCAAAGTGTGGTTTCTTGGAGGGCTCCTGTCACCAAGATGTTTGTCTCCTAAAGCACCGCGGTCGCTGGATCGTGCTGACAGCCCTGAGCGCGCGGGAGGACGAGCTTTGGCTGACCTTACTTGGAGGGGAAAAGACGGGAAAAAAAGCCTAGAAATAATGGAACAGAAAAAAAAGAGAAGCTGATTTTATCCAGGTCTTTCTGTTCTTCACGGAATGGACGTGAAAAATAGTTTCACAACGCAGGCCTGGATGATTCAGGCTGCAGAAGAAGCATCGATTTTGCAGATATTACCTAGCAATGAGGGCAGGGATCGATCATCGCTGGTGATGCCCCTGACCTCACTAGCAGCACGAGGATCTGCTGCCCGGCACCTCACGCTGCCGGGGACACCCAGCGCTGGGAAGTCCCGTTTCACCGGAGAGAAGAGGAGCACAGAATCGCAGAACGGTTAGGGTTGGAAGGGACCTCTAGTTCATCTAGTCCAACCCCCCTGCTCGAGCAGGGACACCTAGAGCATGTAAAGCAGGAGGCAGAGGTTTGAGGAGGGCCCTCTGATCGTGGCTGGATCAGAGGAAACCACACATCAGGTCAAAATGGAGCAAAAACTCAGTAATGAATTATTTCTAGGCTGCAAAGAGGGAAGATATAACCCCCCAGAACAGGCAAAGCAGGAGGGACTGATGCAAACACAGAGCCAACACCAGCACTTCTCGCCTGCTCCTTCCCCAAGCTGTGCTTAACGGGCTGCTTTTTCAGGCCCAGACGTAAATGTAGCTGCAGACGTGTCCCGCGTGTGGCTACACCCCGGGGGAAGAGGAAGGCCGTGGTGAAGCACAGGACGGGCGACAAGAGCTGCTGCCCCCAGCCCTGCGGGCCGCGGGAACCGAGCAGATTGCAAAGCTTTGTGCAAGTCGTCAGGATTCCGCCCCTGGCTGCTGCTGCCTGGGACTTTCCTCTCGCAATTGTTCACCTTCTGTCCTCCTTCCCAGCGCCAGACAAGCCAAACATTATTTCACAATCCCGGCATCTGGCGCGCGGCGCTCAGCAAGCCGCGGAGCCTGTCACCGGCGAGATAAACGAGCACGTTTCAGTGGCCGACTTCATAAAAGTATATGAAAAGTACTTAACAAAAGGGTATTGCACAAAGCCGGCAATGTAAATGCAACCTCCAAGATAACTAATTAACTGAAGCAGCTATAAAGAGGGGAAGCGGCTTCCCATCTGTGGAAATAGATGCTATTTTATAGAGGCTCTAATTAGCTGTGCCCGGTCCTGCAGCCTTTATTTCGTTTCATCAGGCAAACGACCACACGCTCCACACTGCCGGCCTCACAAACAGCAATTCCTTGGAGGCGGAGAGGGAGGGAGGGAGGAAGGGAGGATGCAGCCGGTGAGTGTGGTTGCAAGAGCCTCGTAGGAGGCCCGGGGAAGCAGGGGTCTCGCGGCCTCCCGCTTCCACGTGCGACCAGAGGGCTGCGTGGAGCCACGCGGAGCCGTCCGGCAGGGAGCAGCAGCGAGGCCCGGCTGGGCACAAGCCAAGGCCAAACAGTCCACGACAGCCTGTCGGTTATTTGCACTCCTCCAGTGCGGCCCTGCTTTTGGTGGCTCGGATCTGCAGGGAAGGTTTGCAGGGGTGTTTGGCCCAGCTCTCCCGCTCCCCGGGAACTCTCTGCTTGCTCCTTCATGCCCTCAAACCCAGAGGCCTCCCTGGGCTGAAGTCTGAGGTGTTCACATGCCCCGTGGGGCCCGTTTCCTGCTTTGGGCCAGTGCCCGCCACAGGAGCTCACGCTGAAAAGCTCCTTTGGCTCAAGGTACATTAGTGAACCTCGGCCACCAGAGTCACCGCAGCCCGTCCTGCTGTTTATCCAACATGTGCTGCCAACACTTCCAAAGCAAAGGGACCCCAAAGAAGTACGTTATGCTTGGTAGATCGCGGAGGGGTTGAACACGCAGTGGGACGGCACCACCAGCTTTGTGTCTTGCAAAATGGTTTGGAGGTGCTTAGTCCTTGCTTTGCCCCTCTGCCTCCTGTGATCCCTGCAAGCCCCCAGCGATGTGCAGTGAGCTCATAGGGACTAGCTAGAACAGCACGTGCCCAAGGAATTAGTCACTGTTGGGACCTTCGTCAGTGATCTTATTTAATATCCTTTTCCATTTGTACTTGAAAAAAAAATCAAGAATTATGAGCTCCCTGCTCACAGAGTGACTCAGAAGAGCTGGAGGCACAGCGTGGAAGTCAGGAGTGTCTGAACAGCTCCAGTGTGGTGGGGAT